CCCCCATCACTTTTCTAATGCTCTGTCCCTTACACAGAGTCAAATGATAAAGTAGGGCGTGCCAAGTGCATTGCCACTTAGTATACAAGTTTAAAGCACTTTATTTGGTCTGATAATCTCCTTTTATTTATTATATTTCCTGATAGTACAATTACTTAAACGGTTTTAAATAAATCATGTGTTTTAAACCTAAATATTTTTCCAATTTATACTACTTGAACAGATCTGATAATTATGTTTTGTACACGAGGGTCTCCCAGGGGTTGTTAGGTAAAGGGAAAAAGAGCATATTTTGCAACGAGAAGACGAGAACAAAGCGAGAAAAATGGGAACATGGTTGACTGGTGAATTCTTTGTTGGCAACAAGGGAACAAACTTGAGGTAAACTTTTCATGTGAACACAGACCTCCGGCCCTCACCTGGGAGACCCTCGCTGCAAAGAAACCAGCCCTCATAATTAGCCTTATTTTGCAGACCTCAAAATGTGCCTGGCTGCCTGCAAAAACACATCTTATTTATTTAGATTTTGTGACCTAAATGTTGCTAAAATGTCAGTATTTTAAAATGTGCCTGCAAAATTCAAAGGTGCATGCGAGCGGTGTTCGCGCATTTTATTGATGCCTGCTATTTTACCTCGGCAAAATCGGCGAAGCAAGTCAGAAATACAGTACTTTGCCAGATATTTACAGGATGGTATTGTACTGGAACATTTATTATAACGTTACCACAAAACCATCTGTTTTTCGTTAAGATATTGTGAACGACAAACAACCAGTGTACCGAACATGTGACACGTTAAAACAAAATTACAGTTTTATTTATTATTTTTTTAATTTTTAATTAACAATGGTGGCCTTGCAGTAATCTGTTTTTCAAAGGGCCGTGGTAAGTTAAGCTTGACAACCCTTGTGCCATACAATGGATTATTTTATGACAAAAGGTTAGAGATGTTTTGTCCAAATACCGTCCTAAAAATCCTGGTATCTGGTTATTATCTGGTAAGTGGTAACTACTATCCAGTACAGTACCATCCCAGTATCCGGAAAGCAGTATCTGGCAAAGCAGTATCTGGCACATTCCTAGTCAGTAGTCAGAACAGTCTCAACATGTCTCTGCAATTGCTGCGGTGAATTACAAAGGCTGAAAACAGAGCATCTATCAATGATAAGTGGGTCCATTGTACTAAAACATACCATTTTACAAATAGTTCACATAATACAATAGATCTGACAAATGGGTCGTTCCGGAAAAGATCTGCATTCCCAGAAAAGATTTTTTCCAGAAAAGATCCACATAGAGGAAATTTGTTTACTGTAAATACTTAGCGTCGTCTACTGCTAAATAGCCAATGTATTATGATCGGATTAATAATCGTAAGTAAACAAACAAATGTTGTTTTCCAAAAGCCATTAGATTGTTTCTCAGACATTTTCTTTTCCAGCGACTCAACACGCTTGTTCAGTCGGACAATCTCACCTTGTAATTGGGGGCCTGAATCTTCATCGGAATTTCCTGAATTCTCACCTAGTTGGTGAGACAACCTAGGAGTTAACATATACTACTATTATTTTGTGAAATGTTTCAAAAAAATTTTTAAAAATAAAAAATTTTCAAACAGTGCTAGACTACTATAGTGTTGTTAAAATATCACCAAATAAGTTTTAGAAAAGACTTTTCCCTTGGCAAGTAAAATCATTTAGAGTTAGCTAGAGTAAAGTTAGGTACACATATATCGTCAATACATTTGCAAGACTCACACGTTCATGAGTAAGCTTGTCTGGTGCTAGGCAGAGCAAAATAATATAATTAAAGTAGGGAACATTTGGGCTTAATTGCAGCAAATCAACAATACATCCTCAATTTTGCCAAGACAAAAGTAGGTCAATTACAAAAATTGACAAATCATAATTTTTATGCCATTTTTGACTGTACTGTACTAATGGATTCCATTATATAACACTTTCAAAATATCATGCATGACATGACATGACCAAAAAATTGTAAAACTTTCCAGTCGAATTATATGCATACAGCATACTCTGTTAGGGACCAAATATCATAACCACTGTTGAGGCTAGCTAGCCAGAAGAGATTATTTCACTGGCCTCAGTGTGACAAAACGAATGGTTTTACTAACACAAACCCTACTCCAAACTCCAACTCTTACCCTAATCCTTACCCTAACCTAACCCTACTCCAAATTTGTTTCTAAACCAATCTTGAAGAAAATTTTTTTGACAAAATGTCATTCTGAGGTCAGCGAAATAGTTGATGCCTAGCTAGCCAGCAATCCAGGCCGGAATAACAAGATATTTCATTATCCAGTATCCTGACGAGAATGTAAAATATCTGGCCGGCATATATTTTTTCCTTGAAATGATTGTCGAGAAGTTAGCAATATTTTCAAGATTTTTCACATGCACCACTTGCAAACGTGACAAAAACTAAAGACCATTACAGAATACATTAATACAAATATACAGAAAACTACAACAAATACAACAAAATATATGAAACAAGTATGGAATAAGGAAATAATTAAAAGTACTGTAAATGTCTGCTTTTGATGGGCAAAGACACTGACAGACAGAGTTAAAGATGGAAAAAACATTCATTAATGCAATAGGGGTGGACAGTGCCAAGCAGGGCCGCCAAGAGAATTTGTGGGGCCCAGGGCAAGTCTTCCCTGGGGGCCCCATGACATCATTACTTTTAAGCTACACCCAATTAGACCTTAGCTAGACTGCATGTGGAGGTACTGTAAGGGGCCCTCAATTTCAAAAATGCTCTGATCAATTTTAAAAACGTACTCAATTTTAGGCTCTCACTCTCAAGTTGGGGCCCTATTAAGGTGGGAGCCCTTGGGAATGAGGTGCATTTCATGTCATTTGCAGAGCTATTATGTTTCCAGAAATGGGACAGAGGGCTCAAATTTCCATATCAGAAACACTGTGATTGCCGGTATCAAAATGTCTGGCAACAGGCTGGTTAGCATCATTGTCAATGACTGAATGCCAATGCTCAAAGACTTTCCAGTTTCCCCAATATAAAGCATGCCACATCTACTGTAGCCTCTTCCGCTGGCAAGTCTTTGGCAAAAGTATTATGAATAACAGCGAATTTAAAGTTAGGGATTGTTAGGGATCATCACATTTTTGCCAATTTTTTTATTCATAATACTTTTTCCAATTTTTGCCAAAGAGTTGCCTGCGGAGGAGGCTACATCTACTACTGCATGAGATGCAGTACATATGAGATGGGAGCCAGTGTGGAAAGTTTGTATCACAAAACGGATATCTCCGGCATGCCATTTTGATGCTTTCTATTATTTTTTTTTAAATCTCTGGCGTGCAATTTCCAAACTTTCCAGTCTGGGATGGGAGGTCGAGGTGCATGCATAACAGGGCTTGACATGGTTTTGAGATTTTGGTGCCGAAATAACTAATTACTATACTACATCAATATATTTGGGAATGATGTACAAGCAATAAAACTTCTTTATAATTTCAAATACTTTTATATGAATATATATATAATATACCTATCAAATTCTTTACGACGGCCGTCATTGCCCTCAACTTTTCTTTCCATATAACGAGATGTGGTATCGTCGACAGTCAGTGTCCTTGGCGGTGTCACCATACCCCCCATATAGTTGTTTAAATTTACACCGGCATTTTGTAAACCTATGCTTGGGTTGTAAACTTGTGTTTCGCTTTCCCCATTCAAAACAATTTTGTCGGGTACGGTCATTTGACTTCCTTGAAATGCTGGCTTATTCTCGCCAAAATTTTGCATGCTTTGTACTGTGATAGTCTCGGGTACTTGCATGTCTTTTATAACATCATAATCGGCCTTAAATGGAGCATTTATAGCTGTGTATTGGCTAGACATTCCTTCGCGGCTTCCTTTTTCGTCGGCCATCTTGAATTATATATAGCTCGATCCAGTCTTTTCAAACGTTGCCCCTGACCTGAAGCCTCTGGCACACACTTTTTAAAACAAACAAAAATGGTATACACTCTTCAATATTTTCTAGCTATAAAATAAATTACATTTTTTATATATATATTTACATTTATATACAAGTCGCTTTTATTTAAGTGAAAAATATTTCTTTCCAATTTTTGCTTGCATAAAAACACAATCGAAATGGCGATCTTGGTTTAATTGCGCAGCACGACAGCGTTATTATAGAATAAACACATTATGTTTATAAAAAGCTTATTTCAGAAGGGCTTTTCTTGCATCCACAAGAACTTTAAATGCTTCTTCTGATCCCGGAGCAACGCTCTTGTCTGGATGTATTAACATCGCTAACTTTCTGTATGAACGATTTATATCCTCCCTAAAAAAGAAAGAGAAAAAAAAAGAAATAAAATGGTGACCTAGGTATATTGTGGTCAATGATGATGGTACTTATATAGCGTCTATACATTTCTGTCCTAAGCGCTCAATGGGGTCATTCAAAGAAGAAATGTGATATCTCTTTAAAAAACTCATCTTATGATTAAGATTTAAGATGATATCAAAGTTGCCGGACATAGATAGATTGGTCCTAAGATAGAACCCTGTGGTACGCCACATTTAATCAGTCGCTCTGTAGAAAAGGAATTTTTAATTTGGCACTTCTGGTTTCTGTTTGTGAGATAAGATTTGAGCCAAGTTAGAGCTTTTCCTTTTATTCCATAGAGTTCTAACTTCCTCAATGAAATTTGATGATCAACAGTATCAAATGCTTTTTTTAAATCAATTAAAACTACTATAGGTTAGACATTTTTCTGTCCACAGTAGATTCATATACCAATCATTGGTACAGTCTAGTAATGCAGTTGCTGTAGAATGAGATTTTCGAAAACCAAATTGAGAATCGCTAAGGAGTTCAAATTTTGTTAAATAGTTATACAGTTGATCATACATAATTCGCTCCATAATTTTGCTAATCGGAAAAAAATTGCAAAGGGAAAAATTGCAAAGAATCTACTAGTTATCTAGTATGATACCTCAGACTACCGGAACATGCAAGCAGACTCAGATTTATACGAAAATATACGAAACAACCAGACCCAGATATACACGAATTGTTCACACAGGGTTAACCTCTCAATTCCCTTCGATATATGTATTTTTTCATATCTTGAGAAATAAATGGTATGGTACTGTATGGTATGGTAAATAAACCTAATGGCTAGAGCCATAGAACCTGACACGCAGGCTAACCTAATGGTGGTATTATATATTTTAATTCAGCAAACAAATAACACAAACATATTATAGATAAACAGTATGACATCATAACTGGCATATTATGTTACCGAAATAGCGTCATCCATACCTATTAATACAACCTTTGTCCTTTCGGAAAGACTTGTCATTTTGGCTATAGAGCCTCATTTTCGTGTATCGTCGGGCATTTAAAGCCTAACTAGTATCTTGATCACGAAAACGACGCTTTACAGTATATAGCCAAAGTGACGTACTTCCCGGAAGGGCGTATTGAATTATGTTTATTATAGTACCCCACCTGCTTGCTCCATAGTGAAGTCCCAATCTCTCATAGTTGTCTTTGGCATTGACCAATCTCTGTATAGCTTCAGCTTGTTCTTTCGTGTAGCCCACTGTAGTACTAGTGGTAACACGAGCTGCTTTGCCTCCATTTTCGATTGTCCTTATTACTTCTTCGAATAAAGTCTGAAATATGACACACACCAGACAATGACATGCTTAGTTACAACTTTAAAAGTATATTGTTTGCTAGTAAATTAATACTAAAATTAAAAGGAACAATGGTTTCAGGTTTTCAAGAAATGTTTGAAACTACGTACTATTTTAACTATTTCAATTTTCAAATAATTGCTGCAGATTAATTTCCACAGTTTTTATATAAATGAAAACAAGGAACAGAACTGATGAATATATTACAAATAACGAACACATTACAAATCACTTCTGGAATCTAACAAAATTGTGACATCGATGTAACATACTTAGTTAAAGGCACAGTTCAGCCTGTTGAACGATGGTTTTTAAGGCGCATTTCAGCCCTTTTAATTGAAAAAACTAACTAGGAAAATCAATTAAGCATAATTCAAGATCACCAAACTTAATGTTTTTAACATTTTAAAACCTTTATATTGTTAAAAACATCGAGTTTACTGATTTTGAATTACGCTTAATTGATTTTCCTAGTTAGTTTTTTCAATTAAAAGGGCTGGAATGCGCCTTAAAAACCATCGTTCGACAGGCTGAACTGTGCCTTTAATTGTTTATTACACAATATTTTTAAAAATTGTTAAAGTGCAACTAACCACAGTATGATTTTTGGTATGTGTAATATTTGGGTCATTCGAAGAAATGTAAATATCTTTATAATAAAAATTCCCATCTTGATCAACTTTTTCACTGTCAAAGTTTCCGGATACGATGTCATTAGATGAATTGCAAATTAGTTTTCCTTTGTTTTTTTTGTACCAAAAATTCACCTAATGACATCATATCCGGAAAATTTGACAGTGAAAAAGTTGATCAAGATGAGTTTCTTGGGTGTAGATAAAAGGCGGACGGATAAAAAGCGGACGGCGGACGACGGACGGCGGACGGACGGACGGCGGAGCATTTTAGATACACATGATTACTACGGCAACTAATTATAATACCCTAAATTAAAGTATACCAGCCTTAGATCTGTGAAATTGATATGTTTTCACCCGTTCGAATTTTTAGCAATGGAATTGTTTAATCAGCATTCAAATGATTCAGTACGTATGTATGATGGCTATACGGCGTCTTTCTCTGGAAACGTTTGGAAATATTGTAAAAAAGCGCCTTAGTTTTGGAGCTTCTGTTAGGAAGAGTTAAATGACATTTTCCACTTGCTGACATTTTCGTACTTTAAATAGTGCTGACTTGTTGTTTTATAATGAAAATAATCCCCGTTTTAATTACAAACCTAAGAGGTTCACACGAA